AGTTAAACCCTAATATTTTAAAAGGTTTCAAAATTTGTCCTCAAGTTTTAGAATTTAAAATTTAATTAAAATGTATTAATTTTGAAATATTAAATTATAAAACCCTAGTATTTTGAAAAAGTTCATATTACACCCTTATGGTTTTATTAAATTAATTAAGTGTATAATTAAAAGAGAGTTAATAAATCCATAATGATATGATTTGTGTTTAATTAAATTAAAAGTGTAATTTTATTAAATTAGACCACATAGTATTTAAAAAAAGTAAAATACATCCTTATACTATATAGAATTAAAAGTCTAATATTATATATGTATGAGTAAAAAGTCAGTCTTACCATTAGTATGCCTCATTCACGAAACTGGTCTAAAAGGGGTGTTTAAGGAAGTGGCCTATAAAATGACCGTCATTGGGTATCCACTCTTACCCACCATACTCTTGACTAGTGGAGTGTCGTTAGCTGAACAGGTAGGATAGGACATAACCTTCCATTATAAGTATAATGAAATACAAAGTAACTAAACACTTTTACAAATTCCCAAATCTTAGTTACTTTAGGAAAAATGTGGAATTGGTGATAATCCATGAAATTGCACATTGCACCTGTTGGTCGTTAGTGGAGCGTGTGTCGTTAACCGACATACTAATATGGGACCAATGAAGGATGATAATGGGTAGCTCGTAGACTATCATAGATCAATGGAGTGTGTGTGGTTAACCGTCACATTAATTAGGTGATGGACATCTTCGAGAGTACCAAACTAATTTACATGGTTATCCACACCTTGTTTGTGATCCTCGGCATCCAAGTCACAAACATGAAGGGCATAATCGAGATTATACATGTCATTGAAAAGTTCGATGAATCTCAAAATATCTAGGAATTTTAGTTCATTTAAAACCTAATTTTCAATTTTTGTTTTTCATGGTGGAAAATGGTAAATCGTCATTTACCTACCTTCAAATATTCTGCAACTAGATTACGACATCCCTCTTTTGAGTTGTAGAATATTGTGTTAGATCCTAGCCTTAGTATCTTATTTGGGTGTTTTATTAAGGACTCAATCAACTAACTTGAATTTTCTCCCGTTTTGTAGATGTCAAATGACTATGGTCTTCCAGATTCCTTTGGAAAAAGTTTTCCACGTAAAGGTGATGTTCCACGATTGGATCATGGAAATGAGAATCATTCTTCTCTTCCTCCACCACCTACTATTGTTCTCCTTAACCCACGTGTTCGAAGACTTGAAAAGTTCAAGGTCACTCAATCCCTATTGGCAAAAAGGCACGAAGATGGAAAGTCTGTGTGTGCACACGTCTTAGAGATGAAGTCACACATTGACTGGTTGAGGATGTTGGGTGTCGATGTCTCAAGGAATTTGGTTGTTAACTGGGTTCTTCATTCACTTCCCGAATCATATAGCGAGTTCATTAGAGAATACTATATGTTGGACCACGACGTGACCCTTATTGATCTCACCTATTTGCTTATTGTTGCTGAATCAGCACTGATTTGGCACACTGGTCAATCAAATTTTTCTGGTAGCTCAACCTCCTATACTTCTATGGAAAATGGCAACATTGGAAGTCCAGAAAAGTTTTCTCTACGCAAGAGAAAGGCTAAGTCTGAGATAGTCCCGTGTACCATTCAAGAAGTTTCCATATGTTTCTATTGCCAAGAGAAGGGGTATTGGATGCGAAGCTGTCATGTTTACCTGAGAGATCGCAAAGATGGAAGAGTCAAGATGTATGACTCCACTTTAGGTAAAAATCCACTATCTAACTCTATTAAGTTCCTATTTGTAGATTCTTAATACATGATGTGATAAGATTGTATTTTAATGTTTTGTAGGATTGAAGAAAAGAAAGGAAACCTAAAGGAAGAGTGAGCTGAGTCTGATCACGAAAATGGATTTTGATCGCATGGTTCGAAGATCAGATTTTTTTAGCTGCTGTTTAAGAGTTAGGATAAATTTCTTAGGAATATTTAGTAGCATAGTTTTCATTTGTACTTGAGTTGTAAGGACAAATATTTACGCACTTTATAAATAAAATAAATTTTATTTTGTCTTATTTATACATCCTTACAATGGTAGTAGTGAGAACTGATGTTTATATGTCTCTATTGAAATATGGATATGATTATTAGTTATGTTATTTGTGATAATGTCAAAATTTACCAAATAAGGGAAGATTCTCATCACCCAAGTTTCGATTGGAAAGAAACTTGGAATCATGCGACTTGCATTGTATGATGAATGAGAACCTTCATCTTTGGGAAATTGAGGCTAATTCATTGATCACATATGAATGTGAGTCTAGTGAAGGACTAAGGGATCTAGTACACATTGTTGTGCGCTGGTCAAGTCCACTACAAAGAACATAAGACTATTCTTTATGATTTACTAAAAGTTTAGTAAATATGGTTATACTTAAAGGTTTAAGTGTAATTCTGAATCATTAGAAAAGTCTTAATGAATAGCAGAACGAATAAGAAGGATCAATTAGGCAGAAAGATAAAAGTTTCTCTAATCTAAAAAAAGGGAGAGTACTCAAGTATCGTGTTTTATGATCTTCCTAATGATTATGAAAGCGTATCACAATTGATCATCTAAGGACACCTTAGTGCATAAGTATAACTAAGAATAGGAATCCAGAATTGTTGAAATGGTTAACCGATTGTGATTTGAGTTATACTTCGTTCCAAAATCAAGTCTAAGAGTTGTACTCCATGATTGTGATTTGAGTGACATCATCTTAAGAAGGTTTATGACACTTATCAAATGTGGAGTAGAAAAGGTTCTTACCTTTGTACTTTTGAAATTGGTAAGTTGTAATGTCTTGGATAAGACAGAGACCAACTAAGACTATTTGTGTGAAGTGTTTGTCTTGATAAGAATCTGCACTAACTCTTGAATATTTGTTTGTCAAGTAATGTTCTTCGACAAGAGAATCTTATATATCAAGAGGTCAGCGGAAGTCTTAATGGTCTTGAAAAGTTTCAAGAACTAATCAAGAATAGTTAATCACTAGCACACGACATGTGGTTTATAACCTATCATGTTGACATATTCTTGTTTCTGTGCCATTCCAGTTTTAAGTCCACTATGCATGTGAGTTCTATGAGTTCTCATTTGAATGCATAAAGGAAAAACACCTTGATCAATGGAAAGTACATTGATATGTAAGGATGAGTTACTTAATAACTTGGAAGCAATGGTGGGACCCTTGATGGCAAGAAATTAAGATTAAACAAGTTCAATCCATATGAGGTATGATTTGTCACAACAGTTATCTTACGATGATGGTTATGGCAAATTCACATAGATATGAGTACATACACCATAAAAATCTAAGTGACAAGGTTTCTCTCTACTTCATGATTGTGAGGAAACGTTTCATATTGATATATATTTTTCTAATTATCTTTTTATGTTATTTTATATATTTCAACTAGCTTATCAGTTAGTTTTATCAAACATAATTTTTATCAGCTAGCATTTAGTATAACAACTAGTTTCTCAGCTATCATATAGCTTTTTAGATAATAGTTAGCTTTTTAGCCAGTACACCAAACATAAACTATGTTTGGTGTGCCACAACTAACTGATAAATTAACTTATTTTTTAAGTTTTTTTAATTATCATGTTTAACAAGCCAAAAAACAATTTATAAGGTTTTTATTTAAAAAAGATACTTATACTAGTTTTTGAGAATTTTTTTAAAACTTATCAAATATACCATTAATTAGTTATAAAAAACATATCTTTTTAAATGCCGTTTAATATATTTCAGATAGATTATTAAGTAATTTTTCTAAATGTCATTTTTTATTAACTATCATATAAGATAGATTATTAAGTAATTTTTCTAAATGTCATTTTTTATTAACTATCATATAAGTTAGTAACTAGTTTTTCAGATAGTACGTAATATTGTTGTTGATGTCTTTTCCATGAAACTCTCATATATGTATAAAAATATGCAATTTAATTTTACAAGTCACACTTTTAATCTCTTTTTTTTTTGAACAACAAATAAATATTTTTTCTCCTTCCTGTAATTGAACCCAAGATCTTCTAATTAGTTGTTAGTTTAAATATCTCATTGTTAATCAAGTGGGGCTAACCCCATCTTGTAGTCAAACTTTTAATGAATAAAGATATCTACTATTTATGTATTGAAAAGTTGTATTATTAATATAACATTTCAATAAAATAAAATAAAATTATATTTCAATTTATAAAGTTTAATAATATTAATACAAAAATCTAAAATAAATTATAAGTTATAACCAAAATCTAAAATAAAACTATATTTTAACTAACAAAATTTAATAAGATTTTATTTATTTTTTATATATGATTATAACATTTATAAAAGTATGATGCCAAATTGTCGTTTTTGTTTTTTTATCCACACATGCGAAATTAATGAAAAAAATCCAAAGTTTATAGCTCTTTTATTAGTCGTTGGGGTCTTTTTGTATGTTTCATTTCTTTGGTCAAATCAAAACTTCCATCGCCTCCATTTACTATTTCTACTTCTCTTGCATCTCTGTTCTCCGTTTTTGTACAACAATTACAATTTGATCTTTACATCCTCAGCTGATAATAGGTAACTTCTTCTGTTCGATTTCTGAGTCTTCCACTTAGGGTTCATATTTTGTGATTAATTGAATCGGAGTTCTTCGATGTTCGCGTCTTTTGTTGTTATATCCCTAATTTTGTAATTAGTTGAATCCGAGTTCTTCAATTGATGTTTAACACTTTCAATTCATGCGATGAAGGATTTCGTTGAGCCCGAACTGGCTAACTATATTCTGTTGTTATGCACAACAGAAAGGGTGAAACTGCACATCATAATTTGCTTATCATACATCAATTTGCTGTTGTAGAAACGAAGAAGTCTGATTAAAATTCATGAAATACAAAAACCCTAAATTTTCGAGTTTGATTACGTCTTTTAACAGCGGAGATATAAAACCTTGAGAGACATAATGATGTGCTTTCAGTCATCTTACTGCGCAGACAAGGATGAAGTACCGGAAACTCCAACAAATATAAGCACGATCAGGTCTTTCGGTTCTGGATCTACAGATCGTACTGCGTCTGGATCGGATTCAAATTCCCAAACTTCCCTCGAGCCAAGAGCAAAATTTAGAAAGATCAGGTATCCTAGCTTCTCAAAAAGATCAAGTATTCTCAGAGAGTTTAAATTTTCCGAGCTCAAATCCGCCACAAAGAACTTCGCCATTACCTCAAAGCTTGGAGAAGGTGGATTCGGTGCTGTCTACACCGGCATCATTAAGAATCCTCGAGATCCAACAAAAGATCTCAATGTGGCTGTGAAGCAACTTGGCAAAAGAGGATTCCAGGTAAAATTTATCCGTTTTCTTCTCATCTAATCGAGTTCTTCATCCCATTCCTGATTTCCTGATCAATCTATTCTCATGAAACAGGGACACAAGGAGTGGGTGACAGAGGTGAATGTTCTTGGGATAGTTCAGCATCCAAACCTTGTTAAATTAGTCGGATACTGTGCAGAAGATCATGAAAAAGGAATCCAACGCCTTCTTGTATACGAATATATGCCCAACAGATGTGTTGAATTTCATTTATCTTCAAGATCCGGAACAATCCTTTCATGGTTAACAAGATTAAAGATAGCTCAAGACACAGCTCGTGGATTGGCTTACCTACATGAAGGAATGGACTTCCAGGTATCCTTAATTTCTCACTTCCAAAACCTTCAATTTCAACAAATTGACAAAATCTACAAGATCATTGATTTTCTTCTCCCTCTCTTTTTGTTTCCAAAGATTATATTCAGAGATTTCAAATCTTCAAATATCCTTGTAGACGATCAATGGAACGCTAAGCTTTCAGATTTTGGAATGGCTCGATTAGGTCCTAAAGAAGGATATTCCCACGTCACAACAGCGGTAAATAAATAATAAATAAATAAATTAACAATTACTATAAGTTTATAACTTAATTAATTTAAAAATAAAATGTGATTAGGTGGTAGGGACTATGGGTTATTCGGCTCCAGAATACATCCAAACGGGTCGACTGACATCCAAGAATGATGTATGGAGTTATGGAGTGTTTCTTTACGAACTGATAACGGGTAGGCGACCCATGGATCGAAACCGACCCGCGGGTGAGCAGAAGCTTCTAGAATGGGTGAGACCTTTTCTAGATGATAAAAACTTTCCACTAATAGTTGATAGTAGACTCGAAGGAAAATACTCATTGAGATCCGCTTTAAAGTTGTCATTGATTGCAAATAAGTGTTTGTCAAGAGACCCTAAATCAAGGCCCAAAATGAGTGAGGTTTTGGAAATGATTAATCAGCTTGTAGTTGTACAATCAGAAAGTGTTCCTAGATCACCTGTTAGTGGTGAAAAGACGTTTCAGGACATGGGAAATGAAGGTAACAATAACAACAGTAATAATACATCCTCCATTGATATGAAGCTTGGAGATTCTGCTTGGTTTTCTAGAATATGGACTTGGAAGCCTTTAATAAGTTGTTGATTTCTAGAATACATTGTAACTTTTTTTGATCGAATGTATAATGCATGTAATGTGTTATGTGTTGGTGTTTGTAATGTTTTTTAGTATGCACAGTTTCTACATATTATTTTCGCTAAATTTTGAGATGTTCGTCAAAATAATAATGATAATAGAAGATGAATATTTAAACTCGTGTTAAGCTAAATGACGAAAACGTATGGGACATCATGGACTTTGGTGGAACCTAATGTCATTATCTGTCATTGAATATGATATTAGATTATTAGAGTGGATGACATTTTTGGTCGTAAATGGATGATATTGAATTGCTTTAAAATCTATATTTTAATGATTGTATCATTTTTGAAGCTTGACCAAAGAGTTAAAATCCATTACCTTTTCAAACTGAAACGACATAATTATCCAAATCTGATGGGATAAATGGAACCAAAAATTTTGCGATTGGTTTTGGACATTTTTTTAATGTATATTATAAAATGACATACAGATTACCTGGTCTCGTTTGCCCGATAAAGACCGTATATTTTTTTTTTTTGCAAAGTGTTGGAAATAATGGATATGAAATAAACAAATTGTTGTACTATTGAATATGTATGAGACTATAAAGTTATATGCTAAACACATAAAAGATCTAGAATAAATATTAAGTATTTATTTAATTAATATTTATTGTTGGTAAACCAAACAATATTTACTATTTAGATAGAAAAGTTTTATTTATATACTATGTCCAAAAAATAAATAAAAATGTTTATACAAATAATTACATAAAACAGGTAGATATAAGTCGATACCTAATTAAAGTAGTTAAATAGTTGGGTTTGGGCTTACTTGGATAAATTAATGGTTTAAAGGCTTAGGCGCATAGCCTAAAGGATATTAAATCAACTAACCCACTATAGACGAGTTTATTAAAAAATAACAATTTATTTTAAGTTTTTGAATAGGTAATCGTTTTCTCCTCATATTTCGTATTTGATTTTAAAATTCTGAAGTTATATTTTTTCATTTGCACAACTTTTCTTCTTTTAAAATACTCTTTCTACTCGTGTTCAGAATATCTATTTTGAATTGTTTAATATCATGTTTTTAAATCAAATGTATGATGTTAAGCCTTTAAATCGTATATACTTTTCATTTACTATGTTTTAGTAAAAAATGAAATATTTTTTTTCAAAATTTACAGAATTGTTCATTGAAACATATTTCAACTTGGACGCTCTAAAAGCTACATTGGACGATCCTAAGCACGATAGAATGATGTGACTTAAACATGTTGTGGATTGTTGGTCAAAGTCCCATAAAGAACTAAGATTTGCAAGAGTAAGATTGTGTAATCATTACCTCTCAATCAAACTTATATGTATGATCAACAGAGCATGACAATAAGATCTTGATATGGATCTTAGCCTTTATAAGACTGTATTTTATAGTAACCAAAATGCTGATTAAGCTATAAATGATTATAAAACACCCCTTGTATGGGTTGTTTCCATGGATTACACTACCGACACGATTATATGGATTACACTACCGACACGATACGCCAGAGTTTACCCAATAATAGCCTTTAACAATAAGCAAAACTCATTTTGAAAATCCTCTATGTTTATGTTAAAATTTCTTGCATAGGCATCACCACACAATAGTTTTTATCAAGGTTGTCAAAAAGGTATCACGAAAAACCAACAAACATGCTACCAATCGAACTCAAAAAGCTGGTAGTCAATATGTTTGGCAACCATCATATTTTCCCGATAGTATCGTACCAAATGAGTAATCATGGCACACTACTAGTACAAAATTTTAAATTTCATTGTAGTATCAAAGCAACCAGTTTAATTTTATGACATATATATATATATATATATATATATATATATATATATATATATATATATATATATCACAAAAAAGGTAAGTTCAATTGAGAAAATAAAAAATATTGAAAATGGAGAAATCATTCTCAACCACTCATTTAATCTAAGCATAAAAAGATACGGTGACAAACTTATAAATATGATAATAACCTTCAATCTCAAATACGCAACTGTAAAGAATTAGATAACAATTCATTCATCATCAAAATTTCTCCTCCAACCTTCAACAATCATCCATATTTCTTCAATTAAACAATCATCAATGTCATCTAGTGTTAATCAATCATCGATCTTCGTGGCTGGGAGGTTCGCCGTTCCAGACAAATTTACAACCCAAATTCATCAATTTCATCGATTTCTTTGTTGAATACTCTGAATGTTCGTAGCTTGCAAGCATTTGTTAAAGTTCATAACGGATTTGGAATTGGAATTTTCCAGATTCGCAAACGAACTCAGTTGGAATCGGAATTTCTTCGCTCTTCATGAAATTGAAATCAGAGTTTTGGACTCGCAGTCACAGTTGACATTGAAGGACTCAGAATCGGTACTCACAGGTTCCCAATCGGATTTTCGGAAAACAAAATCAAAATGAGAAATCGATCAGACATAGGATGTCGCATCTGAATTCGAAATCGGAAGTATATGATGATTTGGAATTGATAACTTGAATCGGAAGTATCATATTTTTAACATTTTTAAAATAGTTAACTTGTATGCACTCCAACTATTTGATGAAATGCATAAACTAAATTACCACGTTTATATTCACATATGAATATGTTTTATCATCTAAATCAGTATATGATTATTAAAAACACAAAACAAATATGCAAGTCTGTATGTTATTCATATGTGAATAACATATAAAAATTATATATATTTGTGAAAATACCTTGTAATATTCATATGTGAATATACTGTGTAATATTCATAAGTGAATATATCATCTAATATTCACAAGTGAATATACTATGTAATATTTATATGTGATATACCATGTAATACTACGTAATATTCACATATGAAAATATCATTTAATATTCATAAGTGAATAATATATCATCTAATATTCACAAATTAATATACTATGTTAATATTCACAAGTAAATACATCGTCTAATATTTAAATATGAATATACTATGTTTATTATGTGCTATATTCATATATGAATGTTACTTAAATTATATAAAAAAAAATTAATTATACTTTTTATTCATAAGTGAATAACGAATTTACTATAATAAAAACATGATGCATTTTTATTCACTTATGAATAACGATAGCCGAAAATATAAAAAAAAATAAATTTTTTGTTTTATCTTAAAACTATATTAATATGGATGTTTATTTGTAGAGAATAAAAAATCATGAATTTTAGTATATTTAAAATCATTTTTCAATAAAAATAGCTTCTTAAAAATTAAAAAAAAAAAAAAAAAAAAAAAAACTATGTTTTTGTATATATTAAGCTAATGATTAGCATAGTTTAAGGAATCATGTTTTGTTGGAAAACACATATCTGTTCTTTTCCCATTTCCACTGGTACGACAGAGGTTTTTGCGGTAAAAATAAATGAGTTGTTGGGAATGATTCCCAACAATTTTTTTATCAATTGAACCATCTCTCTCTCTCTCTCTCTCTCTCTCTCTATATATATATATATATATATATATATATATATATATATATATATATATATATATATATATATATATATATATATATATATATACATATATACACACACAAACATGCATATAAACAAAATTATATATTGCAACTGTCAAATGTGTTTAGTTTTAAATGTTTTTTAAAACATAATTATACATCATTTAGCTGCATTAGTTATTAATTATTATCACCTTAAATTTAAAAAAAAATGAAAAATTACTTCAATAGAATTCTTTAGTAAATTAACGCAATTATTTAACTAACATCTTTACTAAACGATAAAAATATCCACGGGGGCAGACATAATAATTTATATTAGGTGTTGCCGGTGTATGAAAGATATATTAAAAAATCGAAACATCTCAAAATTTTCCACTGCATACAGAAAAAATAGGTGTTTTTTTGCAACAATGGGCACCACTACAAATCCGTCCCTGATTATCCGATGTTCTTGTTGGCATTTAAATCTTACAATATAAAAATAGAGAAAATTTGCTATATATTATTATCAATTTGCATCAACCATATTTTTTGGTAACCAAATAAATTGATATTGTAGCATGTTCACCTCTAGTTTTTATTGTCTTGGATTTACTAATAGAAAAATAATAAAATGTGACAGATTATGATAGACGTTATTTTTATGGAAGAAAAAAAGTTTGTCGTAAAGATAATATCATATATTAATAATTTTCGAGATATAAGGGCAGAGTGATCAGGAGGATAGGTTCAGGCCCACACTCAACCTTTTTTTTTTCTTTGAATTTAGAAATAACATATTATTTTTGTGCAAAGTTAGTTAAAAGATATTTGTAGTTGCATAAGATATAATATATTTTTAAACAATAAACAATATGAATTGGATTCCATGACTTTACATTTTACATGTTTTTTAAGTCATTCATTTTTAAAGTTATATTTTGGTCCTGATATTTAGAGTTCAGTTGTTATAGTAAGTTATTTTTCGAAATTGATATATTTCACAACTTAAATTTTATAAGTTTGCATAATTTTAATTTTAGATAATTTTATCAGAATTGTTTTACTTATATATATAAAAAAAAAATGTATTCATTTTTACTTTTCACATAGAGCCTTCAAAATCAACGGATTATATATATATATATATATATATATATATATATATATATATATATATATATATATATATATATATATATATATATATGGAAAAGTGAATATACCCTTAAGTGTATATAAGCTTAGGTACCCAAACTCACTATACTACATCGTTTTGTATCATTTATATACATTTTAGTTGTCCAATGTTTTTATAATTCAACTTCTAACTTGATTTACTTCCAAGATGTTTATCAATTTCATATTTATATTCTTATTACATAATTTCATTTTCAACTATAATATATATAGCCGAGTAGGTATTCGGAAAAAAGATGTGATGTAAAAGAAAGATAATAATGAAATTTCGAAAATTTTGAAAGTAAATCAAGTCAAAGGTTGAAGCTTAAGAACATTATAATGAATATATTAAACAAAATGACGTATTATAATGAATTTGGGTACCTAAGCATATATACCTTTAAGGGTATATTCACTTTTACTATATATATATATATATATA